TAGTTTAGTTAGTTTATGTTTAAACTCGTAAGATATGAATTGAAATTTTAGTTTTTAGGATTTTAGTTTATGTTCTTGTGTTGTTGTTGTTGTTGTTGTTGCAGGTGGTGTAGCTGCCAAAACAGGCATTTTATGTCAAAATTAAACCAAGTAAAACCGACCATAGTTGGTCGGTAATGTTTAATTTTAATTATTTTTAAAAAATATATATTTTCAATTACCGACCAAAGTTGGTCGTTTTTTTAATTTTAATAATTAATAAAAAAAATATAATTTAGTTAAACCGACCAACTTTGATCGGTAAAATTAAATTAATAAAATATATTTCCGACCAAAGTTGGTCGGTAAGTTATTAAACTTGTCAGATGGTCGTTTTAATCTACCGACCAAAGTTGGTCGGTAAGCCATTCCGACCATCAAAACACCGTCCACACCATAATGATTGTATTTTGGTCAGTAATTTGCCATAACCGACCAACATTGGTCGATTTTTTTGGTCGGTTTTTAGCGAATTTCTAGTAGTGAATAGATATGAAATTGACAATCACATGCGAGAGAAACCCTTGTTACACAAAATTAAACTTTCCTGTTCTGGTTAACTTTAGCAATTAACTTAGAATAAGTGACGGACCCAGAATTTTGTACAAGAGGGTTCAGTCAGGGATCGCGATAGTCAATTGTATAAATGCACCATTAAACACCTTTTGTGGAATGCTTTTTTATTTTTTCCAATCACATGACTTCAAAATGAAGTCATTTATTTTTTTTAAAAAAGTTGGGGAAATCTTTTTAAAAAAAAAAAAAGAAATAAAGAAAACCTATTTACTTTAAATGTTTAAAGTTTATCTATATAAATTAACAATTTAGCATTTTCAACCAAAAAGTGTTTAACCAACTTAAAAATCGTACTATAACTCTAAGAAATTATCCCTTCGGGGATGGCCTAGTTAGTTTGGAGGGCGGTCATCCATACAGATGACCTGGGATCGATTCTCCCTCAATGCCTTCTGGGTCGAGTCTGTCGCACAAGGCTTGCCTAGTGCGGTTTACATCCTCTGTGTGATTTGCAGGCTATTACACAGTGGGGAATTTACCCAGTGCGCATATAGTGCTCACCACAGAGTGCTCAACTGAAGGGCAGAGGTTGTAGCGACTGCGGGTTTTCAAAAAAAAAAAACTCTAAGAAATTTAACGTACAAAGTTATAAACAAAAGACACGGGAAAAAAAGAGTTTTAAACTAAATTAATTAATCCAAAATGATTTTTAAAAAAAGATATTGTACACCAAATTAAAATTTTGAGTGTAACACAAAATAATAATTTTAATATAAACTAAACTAAATTAAAAGATTGCAAATAATTTCAATAAGGCACTCTCATTCTTTTGGCAAAACTTATGAAAAAGAAAACTAAAATTCACTTTGTAGAAAGGTTTAAATTTTTTTGAAGTGAAATAAAATTTAATAAGAATTGCAAGGAGTCATAAAAAGAAGTAGAAAAACAAAGATAAGAAAAGGAACAACAAGACAACAATAAGCAAAATAATATACTCCTACGACTATAACAAAACTGATGAAGCGGAAAATAAAATTCACAAGTAAAAATAATTAATTTTTCTGCTGAAACTCGTACAAGGTAGATCTGCCCTGCCTATAACAGCAATCTTAGCTTGTACTCCTAGTTTTTCTATACTTTTTTGTGCATCACAAAAAGTTAGGGACTTGGATATAATTTCCCAAACATACAAAGAGCTAATGGCAATTTCCAAATCTATTTGTCTCAAAATCTTGTACTTCAGTTAAAAACTTAACTCTCTCTCGCTCTCTCTCTCTCTCTCTTACCTATCAACCTTAAACCCTCCAAGAACCACAAAGACCATGACTTTTGCCACTGCCAGTTTAACTCCAATATTCACCAACTGTTTGATTGCTTCTCGAATATGGACACCCAATTGGCGAAATGGGTTTGTTTCCCCTATTACTCTGTTGCATACATTAGCCTCAAGTCGTAGCCGCCTCCTCAAGAACAAGAATCATTACCAAGACTTGGTCTTTTCTTCTTGCAGCAGAGGCTTCAGCTGTCAATCCACTGCTTTGTCTGATGTCAATTCACATTCTCACACTGTTTCCTCAAATGGGTAATTCTTGTTTTTCCATTCTAGCATTTGTTAAACTGTCTTGCTCTATATTTAATTTATCATAGTTAGACTATTTTGTTCACTGTAGTTAAGTGCATAAAAAAATGTTCTCGATTAGCTTAGTCTCACATCCTCTCTAGGAGCTTAAGCTTCTGGATGCAGTGGAGTAATTTTAAAACAATTCAAAACTTTTTTCCTTCAAATCATTGTGTAACCAGCTAATATGTATGTAAAGTTAAAGAAAAAGGTCTAATTGTACTAGAGCAGCACTAATGTTATATTATGCACTAAACATATTCTTATCCGGATTTATTAGTAGAAATTGAACAAGAAACGCATTTGTATGTGGAAGCTTTTGCATCCCCTTTTCATATGTGTTGATTTCACTTGATAGGGACAGTGGAGTGGACAGCAATAGTGCTGCTCATGTATATCTGCCCCGAATTTGGCATATCTGGTCATTAGGTGCAAAATGGTTTCTTCAATTGTTGGCTATATAGATTAAAAAGGCTAAACAAGAGCAGGAAGCTTCAATTGATAGTGTATTGCAACTGTAATTTTAAATTTGTAAATGCGACTAACAATTTTGTTTGATGGGGCAGAGATATGTCTGTGATTCCATCAACCCTCACCAGGCTAGTGTCCAATTTGATACTTATGATTTGTTAAACTGATCTTATTGATTTATTTGTTCTGATTTCACCTTTTCAGCCATCTTATGTATGGACGCTTGCTGCCATGCCCCTTGCAGAATAGCCCACCAAGAGTCGAGCATCTTGTCGTCACAAAAGAAGGGCCTGTTCTAGACTATATTAGTAAAGCTTTGGATCTTCCTCCATTGTAAGTTTCTATCTTTTCTTTAGTGTCCTGTTCTTCGTTAACTTGTTATGTTCCTACATATTCTAATACTATCTAATATACATCCCGAGGAGTGATCACTGATGAGTTGAGTGATAGTTATCTTGGATCAGTTAAGTGATATCCTGTCCAATGTTTTTCATCATTAAGATATGTGGAAGATCTTATACAGTTTGGGGCTGTGTATTATGCGCTCGTATGTCCTAAGCCACCTCCGACTGCCACCGCTGAGCAAATTAAAGTGTATGAAGAAGTTACAGATCCATCAGTTCTTAGAAAGCGAACTTCAATCAAAGGAAAAACTGTACGTGAAGCTCAAAAAACTTTTCGTATAACTCATGCTGATGATATTGTTGAAACTGGAACTTATTTGCGGGTGCATGTACACCCTAAGCGTTTTCCAAGGTAACTACTGATCTGTCTTCTTACTTTAGCTCATAACTTTTTGTTAGCGAGAAGGTAATGTTGTAATTTGATGTGATTAGGTGCTATGACATTGACTGGAAATCTCGTATTATTGCTGTAACCGACGACTATGTGATTCTGGACAAACCTGCTGGTACATCTGTGAGTAAAAATACTTAATTAAATATATTATTCTCCGTTGATCAAAATTTTTATATAGCTGATATTTTTTAATAGCCATTTCTGTCAAGAAAATTATTCCAACTTACATTCGTCTGCCTCTCATTATATCTCCAGCTTTTAGTTTTTACTACTAATTTTGTGTTGTACTAGGTTATTATTGTTCTTTTTCCTTTACCAATAAGCTAACTCTTTTGGATACGGACAACTTAAGGTAGGAGGAACTACAGATAACATTGAAGAAAGCTGTGCTACATTTGCTACTAGAGCATTAGGATTTTCAGCTCCACTACAGACTACCCATCAGATTGACAATTGCACTGAAGGATGGTATCATTTTGGCTGTATTTATCTTACATAAATTTGTTTTTCAAAGTTCAATCATAGAGGTGAAATAGTATGTCACGATTTCTTACTTATTGTAAAAAAGAGATTCTGTCATGATTTCTAATTCGTGCAGCGTTGTACTAGCTCGAAGCAAGGAGTACTGTTCAGTATTTCATGGAAAAATCAGGGTGAGACTCACCTGTACAAAAGATTTGATAGAGAGTTTTAGGGAATAACAACTTCCAGTGCCCTTCCCATGGAGGTCCTTTGTGGAGTGTACCATTAGGCATTCTCAATAACTTCATCTATTATGTGGCAGGAGAAGAAGGTCAAAAAGCTTTATCTTGCGCTGGCTGCTGCTCCGGTGCCGATCGGAATACTTACACACTACATGCGTCCTATTAATATGGCGCCAAGACTTGTTTCTGAAGGTAAGCAACTAAGCAAGTAAGCTACAAAGATTGAAAGTGTCATGAGTGTTATCAAAGGAGAAAAACGCAAAAAAACTCTAAGGTCTGTTGGGCTTTAAGCGCAAAATAAAGCGTGGGCTTTAATGAAAAAAGGCGCAAAGGAGAAAAAAATACAAATATGTATGTGTAGTCCAAGACTAATAATGATAAGCATGAACAACAAATATGGACAAAAAAATAGAAGAAAAATAACGATAAAGTGAAATATCAATTGTTTAGTGTCACCTCTTTAGTATTACGCTCATTGGAAAGGAGAATTATGCCTTAAAGCCTTGATGATGATACTGAAGCGCCCGCTAAGCGAGGCGAATAGCTCTACATGTTTTACGCCTCACTTTAGGGCTTAAGCGCGCCTTTGACAACACTACTCATGCTTATATCTGCTTTAGAGAGAGAGAGGATTTATCACAATCTATACTATATTAAAAGCACGAAAGCCCTTAGCGAAATGTTGTTCACCTTTTTTACCCTTTTAAAGTAGAGTTCAAACTAGACAAAATAGTCATTTAATTATTTTCCAAAAATTGAGTAGTCCAAAACCAACTAAAATTATAGCTATTAAATCTTTCCTTACTTGAATAATACAGGAACTCCTAATATTTAGAAATTTAAAATTATTGAGTAAAATTTTACTTATATAAATTATTTCTTTAGCAATAATTGTGCAAAGTAAAGTAGGTTAAAAGTAAGTTAATTTTTCAAAACACGTAATATTAAGCATGTTAAAAGGTATATTAGATGCAAAATTCGACTTCTGAGATCAACTAATAGTGTTATTTGTAATTTATTTTAATGTGACTATTTTTTTTTATTGTAAAGTCAAATAATATTTTTATCATTACTTAGATAAATTATAATTTATCATCAATTATTTTATTGATTTTTTTAATTAGACGTGTCTAATATCAGATTATTAATGGTATAATATTGGTTCAAAATTAATAATTTTAGGCTTTTATTTTTCTAGGAGTTGTAAAACCAACATGCACTTCCAAATCTCTAAAAGACAAAAATTGTTGATTTCTTTATTCTTATTATTTGACAAATCTTTGAATAGTTGCGATAAAAGTATGTCACACAAAATGTTTAACTAAATTTAGTTTTTCTAAAAACAAGTTCAAACAAAATATTTTGAATTCTGAATTAGATTACTTAAACAACAATGATTTTCATAAGATATTCAAAAAAATATGATGTTCTTGATGAAATTAAAAGGGAAGCATGATAACTTATGAAGTTAAGAAGATGAAATTATAGAATTGGAACTTATTTAAGTTGAATATTTGGAATGATGATTGGGAAATTCTATATGGCAGAGTTTCATAATATAGTACCAATATTCATCAATTTTAGAAGCTTAAATTTTTATTTTTTATGAGTCAACCATAATTTTTAATATAATATTTATGAAAATTTTAAAATAATTACTCATCGAGTTAGGGTACACGCGCAACGTGCGTACTAGAAGACTAGTTAGATAAAACTTGATAATACTAATACTTGAGATTTCTAAGGTGGACTACCTGATGGATTTAGAGTCATTGGATGAATAATGAGTAAAAATAAGTATCAAATCCAAATAACTAATCAGATGTTGCTATGCTAGAGAGAGAGAGAGAGAATGAGAATTTATCACAATTAGATAAAACTTGATAATACTAATACTTGAGATTTCTAAGGTGGATAAAAGGTTATACCTGATGGATTTAGAGTCATTGGATGAATAGTGAGGAAAAATAAGTATCAAATCCAAATAACTAATCAGATGTTGCTATGCTAGTGGCTATCCTCAATCTTCTCTTCTCTATAGCCCAAAACAGCTGCCATCGAAAGGATCATATGTTATATGTACATCTCCATGTCACACCGCTCAGGAACAAACCATGATACTGATGTTTGCCATAAGGAGTTGGGTGTTCTTTCCAGAATAGTGCTCATATTTTCCTCTGGCATCTATGCTTTGCAGATTTTGTGAAAGGATGGTATTTGTGCCAACTTGAGGTTTTAGAATGCAAGAAGGTAGCCTGGCCTAGGAGTGAAATTGAGAGCACATACAACATTGAGGACTGTGGATGGCCTTTGAAAGACTTTGCATATGAGTGCCAAATCAACCTTCTAACTGGTCGGACGCATCAGGTATTTAAATTCCATTTTTCTGCTCCCCTCATGTATTAGTTCCTTCTGTTCAAAGGATTTTTCAAGTTTGATGTTTCAAAGTTGAGTGATTGCAAGTGCAAGTTTTTTCACTTGCTTATGATCAGGTTTTATTCCTGCAAGTATTAGACAGGGAAAAGGCCTAATATCTCGAATCAGGCTACCTGAAAGTATATTATACTCGTTGTTTTAGAGGTCCAAAGAGGAGTCTGCATTAATTTTTTTTTGTGTGTGTGAGAGAGAGAGAGAACATGGTTAAACTATTTAATCATGCATAAACTGGTTTATGAATGATAGTTATTGTTAAAAGTTCATCTCTGGTTTTTGTAATCTCGAAACAATGAAGATTTGAAAGGGAACCAAAGCAGTGATTTTCTCAAAATGGTGTTTCTTTGATAATCTACGCCTTGGGAATCACTGATATTCTGATGATATGTGGTCATAATTTGCAGATTCGAGCACAATTAGCTGCCTGTAGTGCACCAGTGGTGGGTGACGCGATGTATATGCCAGCTGCAATTGCTGAAATGGTCAGTCCTGGTAGTAACCCACTTGGGAAGAACAAAAAACTATATACAAACGAAAATGATAAATCACTTGCAATAGATGAGTGGATCGCACAACATGGTAAGGAACCTAGTGTTGCCATAGGTCTTCAGGCATGCCAGATTTCATGGGACGACGGCGAGCACTGTTATGAGGCCAGATCACCTTGGTGGAGGTAGATAAAAGCTTGTGCTAATGTTTAATCCTGGCTTCATCAGAATAGCGTGGCAGGACGGGCAAATTCTTCCGCATAAGGTAAGAGCTTCTTTAATTAGCAATCACTATGCAACATTAGTTTCATTTGAGAACCATGGTAAACTAGAGAGTATCTTCTATCTCTTAAGGGGTTTTAGTAACCTTTCCGTTCCATTATTTTGCTTTAGATTTTAGTAAGATTCAACTTCTGCCATCTATTATGCACCAAAGGCAAATGAAAACCTTTTGAAATTCCCCTTTCTCTCTGACCGTTAAATCTCCTGTGCTTCACTCTCTCTTTGTGAGAAAGCTAGAAGAGAAAGAAGAAGGGTTTGAGGGGGGCGGCAAGATCTTAGATTATAGACTGATGCAATAGGAACATACTAGTAGGATTTTCCTCTTTAACTTGCTGACTTGTCGGATGTGAAATTTCATGTATTTGCATGTTACATATGCATGGCTATGCTGTAATCTTGGGATGCTAAACAGCTGAGCAAAAGAATTGAGTTGCTACTAACCCCCCCCCAAACCACCACTTTTTTTCTGGGGAAGAATTGTTCATCTTTCATTTGATGTATTTCCTTTAATGACTACAGTGTGCTATCTTAACATCCACACAAGACTTTTTATTTGTGTTTATAGCTGATATTCACTTCTTTATATATCACAGCAATTGCCTGTGCTAGGATCATACTATGAGCTGCAAGGAAAGGCTCACTTACTGAATTACAGTGTGTAGTTGTGCAATAGTCTTGAGTCATGAATTGGTGGGTGAATTACCAGGATGTTGAAGAGAAATTTATCAGCATATTTGAGGTCTTTAATTGAAGGTACCTCACACTTTGCCCTACTCTCAGAGTTTCTGAAGCAATGATCTGCACATATCTTCCCTTGACAAAGATTCAAAATCCCTCAGTGTAACGGCGAATCTTACTATAGTAGACTAGTAGTAGAGCATGTCATAAATATTTCAGGCTCATGCCCTTTTTATCCATTGACTGGTAATACTACTCACTGAATCTTATGGCTTAGCCAAGCTCTGGCAGTTCTTATTTTGAGGGATGTAAATACGATTTGCTGTCATGCTTGGTCCGATCAATGTTTAGTACGAAATAGTAATTAAAGTTTATGAAATAGTGTGAATATATAACTTTAACATCCTATCTGCTGAATTTTTTTAGCATGAGCTCGTTTATAAGAGTTAACTTTGAAAAACAGCTGGAGTTTACACCCATTTGGTAGAATATTGGAACATTAAGTTGAATCCTAACAGAAGAAAGGGAAAAAAAATGGAGAGAACTCAGCTTTCAACAGAATATTTCTGCAAAATCAATAAATCTCCTTTACGTGAATACAGTTCCATTAAAATGAATACAAGGGTTAAGCTTGAGCTTAACTTGTGCAGTATGAAGGCAGGGATCAGGCTCAATAATTATTGTTTGATTGCCAGCTGCCTTCCAAAACAACAGAGACCTAAATGAAAATCTTCTTTACAAGCCTCCTTATGTGCATTGTCTTCTTCCGCTATTTCTGGACAGTATGTGTTTCTAGTTGTATGTGAAAGTTATACATGAGCCCTTTATAGCTGGTGGCTGATAATTTTGGAGTTCTCTGGAGATTTGTAAAGTTGACATAGTGAAGTCCAAATCTTAGGCTATATCCATCTAGCCACTCAAAGTTGTCGAGAAGGGACCAAACAAAGTACCCCCTTACATCTGCACCTTCCCTGATTGCATTTGCCAATGAAGTTAAGTAGCTATGCATATAGTTCACTCTATGAACATCGTTCAAGGTATCCGTTATTGAAGGATTCAGATTTTCGTTCTCAGCAATTCCTGCAACATTGCCAATTATGTCATTAGTTGCATCTCAACAGATCAAATTGCATCTCGTTCAAGTTATTGGTTGATAAACTGCATCTCACTTCTAAATGACAAGGATGTATATTTCATTTCATCTTACCATTTTCGGTGATAACCATCGGAGTATTGTTGAATCTGTCCTTCATGTAAATCACAATCTTTTTCATCCCTTGTGGGTACAGAAAGAGCCAGTCGACTTCAGTCTGATTCATTTAAAAGTTTGGAAAAAAGAAAGAATTTCAGCAATGTACAGATTGCTAGTAATAGTATGCAGAGTGGGTTAAAAGATGAGGAATACTAAAGTATTACAGATGAGAAAACATACAGGTTGCCCAATGTCGACACCATCTTTTTGTGTAGTAACAAAATAGGAACCCTCTGACCAAGTGTTTCCATGTTCACAGGCAGAATATAAGCAATCTTTGATATATTTAGCCGTATAATAATTGATGCCAATGAAATCTAGGCCGTAACTCAATTTGCTCAAATCATACACTGAAAAGTCTGGCAGATTAGATCCCAGAATTTGTACCATTTCTTTAGGATATCTTCCTAATATAATAGGGTCTAAAAACCTGCAAAGGGGTACTCAGTCAAAGAACAATATTTTCCTCTCTGATGCACAAGAAACCAGACTATATAACTGAGTTACTGATAAAGAAGGCTTACCAATTGACATAGAATGATCGAGCTCTCTGAGTTGCAGCTATGTCTTCTGAGGAATTGCTATAAGGTTCATACCATTGGATATCCAAAGAAATTCCAACCATGCCGCCTTGTCTTTTCTGAATAGCAGGATAAAACATACTATGTTACTGATACTTGCATGGTCTTCTAATGAACTTACATTGTCAAGGTTGATTGAAAAGGAAAAGAGCCCCAAAATAGTTGGGCTTAGTGCTATTATAGTAGTTTGCTAGATAGAGGAGGACGGAGTTTCAAAGCATAAATTTTCGAACTCTAGTCTTCTAAATATTACCATTTTCCTGTTTTATTTCCTCCATAACAGTTAGAAACTTATGAGGGATATCTTCTTTTCCCTAGTTTTCCTTTCCTTTTCTAAAGACGAGCCAAAAAATAGCGTTGCAACTAAAGGGGTTATCCTTATTTGGACTAATTCTGCAAGATCATGCCATGTTGAGAGTTGACATGGCAATGAAGGAAAGGGGATAGAGCCATCAAAAGAACCTGATATCTTGTGCGGTAAATGCTGACAGCAGCTGCATGAGATAAGATCATATTGTGAGCTGCAATGAAGGGCTCCCTTTCTGAATCCCCAGCACTACAATTCCCAAATATACCAGAGCATCGTGCTGGAGGGTAAATCCCCGTCCTATAACCACGATCAGCCATGAGGTTAGGCTCATTCATGGTAACCCAGTGTTTGACCCTGTCTCCAAAATATTTGAAGCATATGTCTGCAAAATAGCTGAAATCATCCCTGAAATACAACCCCAACAACATGAGTGTAACTTGTTCATCATTGTAGGGTTTTGAATGAATCTACAGCTACCTTAAAGTATAAGATGGGACCAGCTACTTACTGTATTCGTGAACTTAGCCAACCACCATATCTGTCCTCAAGTTCTTGTGGTATGTCATAATGTGTTAATGTGACAAACGGTTGGATCCCTGAATTCACAGCACATAAATAAGTTGTCTGAGCCCAAAAATTTACTTAGCTACACTTTGGATTATCGATAGCTTAAAACTGTTAGCAAGAGAAGCTGAGCTAACCTTTCTGTAGGAGTGCATCAATGAGCTTATTATAGTGCTCAATTCCGGCCATATTAACATCTCCAAATATTCCCTCTGAGTCAAATTTACAATCAACAAAGAAAAAGATTGTCAATGCAAATGACAATAAGGAGTTTTATTTGTTGAAGATGAATGAAAGAGAGCAGTGACAGTTATAACTTACTGGGCAGAATTCTTGCCCATGAGATAGAGAAACGATAGCTATTCACACCCATATCTGCCATAAGCTTGACGTCCTCCTGTTTTTATTTTATTACAAAATATTAGAATTCTTTAATTTCATGCTTTGAACTTCTATAATTTTTGTAATACTTGGTCTAATATTCACCCAAACTCTTCTGGAACTCCTTGACTTCTTGCAAAACCAAATCTGGTGCAACCCAGTCTTGCTATATTGCAAATCTTCCTCATCCTAAGCTGGATTAATTAGCTTTGAAAGTAGCAACAAAACATATGGGCTTATCTGTTTTCATATGATGTTGACAAACTAAAACCAGAGTTAACTTTAGATCCTAGTTACAAAGAAAGATCTTACTGTTCTTGCTAACACAAATTAGGCTGTTCCCTTTTCTTCTCAGGATTGAGTTTCTTGAATGATGATCTCCAAAAGTCACAAGTTGTTAAATCATAAGTACTTCCAACCTAGTTTATTGTTGTGAGCAGCATTTCATGATACCCTGATAACTTTTTGATTTTCAGTAGGCCAAAATAAATTTTGCTTAAACCATATGATTAACTACAATGTCCCTCACTATAGATCCATATCAACTGGTCTGGCATTTCCCCCCAGGAAAAACTAGTGTAATACAGATTATGCAAGCTACAGAAATACATTGTCCCCTTGTAACACCTCTCCCAGCGAGATATCTTCTCTCCCTTCCAATTTTTTTTTTTACATTCACTTACTAATCCTAACTCTCCGTGCGGTGGGATAAACACCTGCTTCTTCCTTGTACGTCTTGGAAGGAAAGGCAGAAGTAAGTTCGGATTCATGATTGTAGCTTCATTTGTGCAGAGTATTACTACACTTAACTATTTACTACCCTTTGTATAGTGAATCTGACCCTAGGTAGTAGAAGGGTAGGGGCCGAGTTTGAGCCCTTGAAATGCTTAGAAGCCAGTACTCCCTGTCCGAGGGGCCTATGACAGGGAAAGGAAAGGGAAAACAAAAATCCACCAGCCACATATTTTTTCCTTTCATCCACAACTTTAGCAGCCTCTACATATTCTGGTTGTGGGACAGAAAATATACTACCACAATTATCTCACAAGTTACAAAGAAATCCTCATACAGTTTAAACAAAAGGACAATGACTACATTGGATGTCCCAAAAATGTACAAACATTAGCTTATGAAAGAAAGCAGAGGGTCTCTATTGCGTTCCATTTCACATACTAGTATCAAACTATTTGTTTCACAAGCCAAATAGGCATTATTGAGTCCTTATTCTTTTCAAAACCAAATATTTAGGGTATTAAAAAGAATTGCTTGTGGGGCTCATAAAATATATTATAATTAATGTTTATCTAAGGAATAGCCACTTATCATATATGTCCTCAAATATTGACAAAATAATGATTATACCCATAAAATATCCCAAAAATCTACAAATTCCAGTTGTCCTTTCACCTACGTGTCTGGATCAGTTCAAAGACTACACACTTAACTCCATCAATATCAAGATACTTGTTCAAGCAGAGTTCATTCACCTTGCAATTCTCTATCTCCGATCAACAACCACGGATTCTATGTTTGCAGTAGAAATTACTGAATTTAAACTTAGAAAAAAGAGAGCTCAATAATCAATTAAATTAAGTACCAAATAACGATTGTAGTGATCAACAGCAACATCTCCATTGCTCCCATCCTTAATATGACCTGCAACAACACCCAAAAATAATAAATTACTTGAGTACTAATTATTGGTAGTGTAAAAATGCAGTAAATAAAATCCGTGTAGCAAACACTAGAAGAAATTGAGATTCTAAAAGCTCACCAGCTTCATGGGTAAAAAGGTCCCAATTATTGAGGCCCTTTCCATCACTGAGGAAAGCTCCTTCATACTGCGGAGAAAACAAGAAAAAGTGGTACCAGAATTTCAAGAAAAAAGATTTTAAAAACAGAATGAGAAAGAAGTGTGAGAAGAACCTGGTAACAAGAAGAGGCTGTTCCAAACAAGAAATTGCTTGAAGATGAAACTTGGTTTGGATTTTCTTTGAGAATAAGGTTATTTGTCTCATGACATGACACTATGAAACCAGAAAAGAAAATGCAAATTATTGCTAACCAAGTGTGCCAAAATATTGCAGGTGCCATGTTAGAAAAGAAGATTACACAGCTTTGTTTAATGACAGAGGAAATAAAATTCATATTCTACAGAGAAGAGAAGTGTACACCACTTTCAGGTTCATAAAAAAGGGCATAAAGAAAAGCAACCTCTCACATTTTTAAATAGAAAAATGTACGTCATTATCTAAAGTGCCACCAATTATCTTTTATGCCGTAGTTACTCTCATGTAGAAATTGGATAGCTACTCTACTTTCCATGTCAACAATAAAGATTGTTTTTTTCTAATTTTACCATCTCCCTGCACAAATATTAGTCAATTTAACGAATTAAATATGGGTTAAGATATTTGACGTTTTATTATTTGTTCTTCATATCTTTATTCTTCCATTTAGTGGAGTGAGACGTAGTTAGTGAGACGTTTAAAGAGAGACGAAGGTTGATCCTGACAAATATTCTTGTGAGGGGTCTGACTTAATGGTCAATATAATGAAGTTGGTATTACCTTTAAACACTAAGGTTTATATTCTAGCAAAGACAAAATTGTTAGATGTTTTACTTTTCTCTCTCTAAGTCTTAATAGGCGATACTCTGCTCGTAGGAGATAACGTACAAGGTCCAAAATCATCATTATAAAACATAATTTTAGGATATATTTCGTAAGAGGCGTGCCAAAACCTTATCAAACATATAATATGGATCAGAGAGAGTGGTTTGTGTTAAAAAAAAAATAAGTGGTATTATTGTTGTTGTTATTATTATTATTAGAATTAAATATTTATTATGATTTTTGTAATATATAGTATCCCTTTGTCTCAATTTATATATTATGTTGTTTGATTGGACATAAAGTTTAAGAAAAGAAAAATTTAAAACTTGTAGTTTAAAATAAGACATAAATATTTTGTGACTATAAATCATCTTCATTGTTAATAACATGAGAGGTTTTATTGTTATTTCTAAATATAGTATCAAAAAGTGTGGTCTAGTGGTCAATGAAGTGGAATAGAATCATGAAATGTCAAATTTAAATATCAGCAAAGACAAAAATATTATGTGATTTTTTCTCATTTAATTTGCATAAGTTTTAATTCCGATATATTATATATGCATGAGTGATTGCAGTTACACATTAAAACCCGTAAACTGGTCAAGTTTGTATTTGGGACAGGCGGACGACCTTTTGCTTTGAATTCTATAATACTATTGACTAAATATCAAATGGACACAAATAAATTAGGTTAATCGTTTATGTATATTATTTTATACATAATTTCGTGCTTCATCACCTTTGAGTCATCAATCAATCAGGATAAAAAGATTTTTTAAAACCTGAAAAAAGGCCACTCTTTAATGTGTTGCAATCGTCAAAGATGAAAAGAAGTGGAAATAATCGATATCACTTCCTAATACTTTTCAAAATTTGGGTGGCAATTTAATATCGTGTTGTTGAAATAATTGTATACGACTAGTTTTTGTGGGCTCCTCAAGGGAGAATCTTGGATAATTTTATTTATATTTTAAAATTATTATTTATTTCATGATCTATCAAGCTAATGTAGTTAATTGGTTGTAATGTCTTTCAATACAAGCCTATTAAATGAGAAAAATACTAGAATAAGTGTGAATCTTCTTGGAAATATTTCATTATTTCTTTATGTTACACGCAAGCGGTAACAATTTTTTTAGGTAGTAGGAAACATTAATTGATACGAGCAGAAATTTCAACAAAAAGAAACTCCACTTGTGAATAAATGAAGGTTCCTATGATTGAAATGGCATGTTGGGGGATGAGGAAGAAATAAGAATGGACAAAGGAACAGGTGAGAGAGTTTATGAGATGGAATAGCACGCTCTTATGGAAGCGAGTGGGAATTGGTGACCACAAACGAAAGGACGGTTAAAACCCGGGCAGTAGTTAGCAACTTCTATACGCGCGACATACCGCGTGCCATTTATGAGAAATTAACGCAGGCTACCTATAAAAACTAAAATAATTACCTACTTTTACCTACATTGAATCTATTTATATTTTATACACTAACTTAATTACCCGACTACCCATTTCCCCTTTTGACCCTGTGACCCATATGTTTTTCATCAGTCTCAACGGGTTGAATTTGTCCTCTTCTAATTAAGGTCCTCTTCTTAGTTTATTTTTGGGTATTTTTGAGTTGAAACCGTAGAGCAAACTTTTGAGAAGTAATAATTAAAATGATCAAACTCAATATTCCTTTAACTTGCAAATACACAATCACTTTTACTGTATGAAGACATGATGAGGAACATTTTACCTAGGCACGATAAATCCTCTAAAAAAATTTATTATTATTTTGAACTTTCAAATTTAAAATTTAATTGAAATAGCGTATAAGTGATGAATTTCAAAAGGATTGTCCTAAATTTTTGTCCAATTATTGTCCACATTTTCAATAAATAAATAATAATATTTATTAACATTAATGGAATTCCATGGAGGTATTATTCATTGCATAAGCTCTCATTGAGTTAATTAGATTATGTGACAACTGATATTATTTCAGTTTAATAATTGAATTTAAAAAAAAATTAAACTCTTTGCGTACAATTGTATACCCTGTTGGTATAGCTATATACTATATTGGTATCATATCTTAGTTGGAATATTTTTTGGTTGTATTAGCTACATTTAATTGGTACACTATTTGATTTTTCTTTAGTAATAGTAGAATAGTACAGTATCTTGAATTTTTTTAATTTTCCTTTATGCATGTGTGTTATGTAATCATTTTAATTTTTTCTTTATGCGTTTGTTTTATATAATAATATTATAGTACAATATCTTGAAATACATTCTTATATTAATATGTGGTACACTATTTTTTTATTTTTCTCTTTATGCATGTGTATTATGTAATAGTAATATGGTCATATATAGTTGCCTAGAATTAATTAGTAGAATTGTATGCCCTATTGGCATAATTATATGTCATATTGGTATCATATGGTAGTTGGAATATTTTTTGGTTGTTTTAGCTGTATTTTTAAGTGAATTCTATTCTGAAATGATTTATATGATCATGTTTTGCTGTGTTGGATTTTCTTGTACCTATGAACATAGATTTTGTGTATTATGTAATAGTTTTTATAGTTATATGCAGTTGTTGGAACGAGCCCGTACAACTATATACCTTATTAGTATAGTTATATACTATATTGGTATCATATGCTAGTTGAATCATTTTTTGGTTATATTAGCTGCATTTAATTGGTACACTATTTGATTTTCTTTTAATAATAATAATATAGTATAATATCTTGAAATACTTTATTATATTAATATGGGGTACACTATTTTTTTATTTTTCTCTTTATGCATGTGTGTTATGTAATAGTAGTATAGTCATACACTTGTCGGAAATTAACTAGTAAAGCTGTATACCATGTTGATATAGTTATATGCCATATTGGTATCATATGGTAGTTTGAATATTTTTTTGGTTGTTTTAGTTGCATTTTTAAGTGATTACTATTCTGAAATTATTTATATGAACATGATTTGCAGTACTAAAATTTTTTTGTGCCGATGGACATAGATTATGTGTATTATGTACAAAGTAATAGCTTTTATAGTTATAGACAATTGTTCGAACGACCCCATACAACTATATACCCTGTTAGTATACGGAATGAGCAAGTTGTTTTGCGAATATTTAGCTTGCAATGCGAGCATGTAATTTTATCATACTTTTATTGCATTCTTTAATGTTTTGGTATAATAGTATAGTCGCAGATAGTTGTAGCAATATTTTAGAGCAATCATATATTCTGTTGGTATATATGTATACCATATTGGTATCATATGGTACTAGAAGTCTTTTTTTCTGCTTATAATTTATTGTATTTTTCAATATTTTATTATTATTTCTATTCTAACTAGTATATATGGAGATTTGGTGGCCGTAGATTATGTTTTCTTGCTCCATAATTGGTTGTGTTATTGCTAATGGCTGAGTGTATACTGATATTTATAGGGAAGGAGATCAAGGTTTGCATGGCAATCACGTGTTAATTCTTAGAATCTGATTATGTAATTTATTGTGCTCAGCAGCAGTCAATGTGATATTCAGTGAATTAGATCACGTGACAACTGATATTATTTCAGTTTAATAATTGAATTTAAAAAATGAGAAAAAAGACAAAAGGTATATTATACTAGTTATATTCAAAAAATAAAAGGTGAATAAATATTTACTATATCAGTTATTTTTTCTTATTGTATAAAAAAAAGAATAATAAAAAATAGTGAAAACAGTAAATGAAATTAGATTATGAAGAGAAAAAGAATATAAAAAAATAAGTTAAATAAAATTAGAAAAGGAAAAAAGAAAAAAAAGAAGAAGAAAACGAGAAAAAAGAAAGGGAGAAAAGAATGAAAAAAGGAAAAAAAGAAAAGAAGCATAGAAATAAAAAAGTATTGGAGAAAAAAGAGAAAATTCCCCACAAAAACTACTATGGATAGGAAATATAATTAGTTTGATGGGTAGAAAAATAAATGGGTAGGCAAGGATAAATAATTTTATTTTTGTGGGTAACTGTGTCATTCTGTTAAATGGCATGCGGTATGTCGCGCGTATAGAAGTTGCTAACTACGTCCCGGGTTTTAACTGCTTTATGATAAGGACCAAAATTATAATAGCCCGTTTGGCCAAACTGAAAAAATCAGCTTATTTTGAGAATTGTTTTTTTTCAAAACTGTTTTTGCTTCTCCTCAGAAGCACTTTTTTTTCTCCTAAAAGCTTGGCCAAACACTTCAAATTTGGAAAAAGTACTTTTGAACTTGGAGAAACATGACCAAACATGCTATAAGTCATGTTTTGATATAGTTTTTTTTTTCATGAGACGAAATTAATAGAGTACTAACTTTTTTCTATTTTAGGCAGATATCATTTTTTTCTCATAATTATTTTAACTCGTAAATTCAAATTTATATTTCAATTAATATTTGGAATTTTTCCTATAGGTACAAAAATAGCCCAATATATACCCGCTTTAGCTGGATATTAGATTTTCAAAAAGTAGTTAGAGTTTTTGAAAAAATTATGTTCAAATGCATTGATGGGGCGAACAGGTGTTTGGAAGATTCTGATCGAGGATACTGAGAGACAGATATATTCGCTTCATTGTAT